AACACCTGGATGGTGACGGCCGGTTGGTTGTCCGCGTACGTGGTGAACGTTTGRGTTTGTTTACACGGAATGGTGGAATTGCGTTCGACGATCTTGGTCATCACGCCGCCMGCCGTCTCGATGCCCAGCGACAGCGGAGTGACGTCCACGAGCAACACGTCTTGAATCGCAGAACTCGTGTCRCCGCCGAGTATGGCCGCCTGTACCGCGGCGCCGTAAGCAACTGCCTCGTCCGGGTTGATTGACAGGTTGAGCGGTTTGCCGCAGAAATAGTTTTGCAGTAGACTCTGGATCTTCGGGATCCTCGTCGAACCGCCCACSAGCACTATGTCGTGTATGTCTCCTTTGTCCAACTTGGCGTCYGCCAATGCCTTCTCAACCGGYTGCAAYGTCGATCTGAACAGATCTGCGCACAGCTCCTCGAAACGCGCTCGGGACACTCGCGTGTAGAAATCGACGCCTTCCATCAGAGCATCGATCTCTATTGTGGCCTCCGAACTAGACGACAGGGTCCTCTTGGCCCGTTCTGCTGCTGTCCTCAACCGTCTCAACGCTCTGGGATTYTTGTGAACGTCYTTTTTGAATTTCCTCTTGAACTCTTCGGCCAAATGAGACACCAGTCGGCTGTCAAAGTCTTCGCCGCCCAAGTGGGTGTCACCCGCCGTTGACTTCACTTCGAATATCGAACCCTCGTCGATCTGCAGAACGGACACATCGAACGTGCCGCCACCCAGGTCGAATATCAACACGTTCCTCTCACCTTTCAGGTTCTTGTCAAGACCGTAAGCCAAAGCCGCAGCCGTCGGTTCGTTGATTATTCGCATCACGTTCAGGCCGGCTATGGCGCCCGCGTCCTTGGTCGCTTGTCTCTGCGAATCGTTGAAATACGCCGGCACCGTGATCACGGCGTCSGTCACGGMACGGCCCAAATACGCTTCGGCGGTCTCCTTCATTTTCGTCAGCACCATCGAACTGATTTCTTCCGGAGCGAATACCTTCCGTTCTCCCTTGAATTCAACTTGAATCTTGGGCTTACCGTAATCGTTTACCACTTTGAAYGGCCAGTGTTTGATGTCCGCTTGCGTCTTTTCGTCGTCAAATCGACGGCCGATCAACCGTTTGGCGTCGAACACCGTATTCACAGGGTTCATCGCCACCTGGTTCTTGGCAGCGTCRCCGATCAACCGTTCGGTGTCGGTGAACGCCACATAACTCGGCGTGGTCCTATTTCCTTGATCGTTGGCGATTACCTCAACTTTTCCGTGTTGCCAGATACCCACACAAGAATAGGTGGTACCCAGGTCGATACCAATCGCTGTTCTTTTCGCCATTTCGCCAATTAAGTTGTCAAACTTTTGTCACACGCACAATGATTACGATAAAGAATTACGAAGATCAAACGTTAGGTAGTATTTACGTTTCAAAATAATGAAAGTACAGTACAAGTGAAGTAAAATAGTACCGCAATAATCGAATATACGAATTAAAATCGCACTGGTAAATAACACTAAAAATCGCAAAAGATTGTGTAGGTTCGTTGTATGTCGTACAATGAATCGCACTGTTACCGCTTCGAATTCAAACTGTTGCAGTGTGGCGCGCGTTTAGCGTTTATATAGTCGACCGAMCGCCACCGAACGTTCTAGAATGTTCGATGTGTTTCGCGAGCACACCCGTTACCGATGCGCCGTCCCCCTACCGCTCCGGCCCACCATTTCTAGTGATTGTGCCGCTCGGTAATAATATTGTTTTCAGTTTTCACTATACGTCTTCCATATAAATATAATGCAACAATGATCACCGAACATTCGAGAATTTTCTCT